ATAAAGTATTTAATGCTTTAGCGTAACTTAAAGCGAAGTATAATTAGGTATAATTATAGGAATGACTTCTCAATCAGGTTTCTTTAATATGATCCAGTAAAGTTCATGGTCAAGCACGTTAGACGTTGCATTTTGGCAGGACGTTGAAAGTTTTATATCATGTTATACACATATTTATTATATAATTATGTACATATTTATTATATAATATGATTTCCCCTTTTATATTTAAATAAAATTGCTGGTGATGGTCTTTTATGTATATTATTTCAAAGAATACAAACGAGCAGAGGGCCTACCTCATATTAGTTATCGTCGTTCATGGAAATCTCAAAAATAAGGGACGTTGCCGACCTTGACCTTGGGAAAAGAAGAAAAACGGTTTGGAAAAGGGAAAGGACAACCGGCTCTCTCACTCATTGGATGAAACGCAGCCATTAAAGTCTTCACGCCGATCTTCTGTGAGAGGTTGGCACTTAACGGGTGAGCCAGCCCATGTTCAATCTGTAGTAACTGACTACAGCTGGCGTCTACCACTTTTAAGTGATGTTATGATTTAAATGATTTAGTATATAGGATTTAGGACATAGATATGAGAACGCAGGTATTATTTTAAAGGTATCTTTATATCAAACTGTATTCAGTAGTGTCTGTGACAAATAGTATATCCAACAGGTTAGAAAAATTCAGAGAAGAATGGTAAAAAAAACATATATATTTTATTTCTGAATGCCTTATAAATATTAATTATTTGAACGGTCGTTAGAAAACGTTGTGAATCAGGAAGGTTTACAAATATTCAAAACAGTAACGGTTTTGAAGAACAAATCGTAATTAATACGTTTACAAAAATACGACGAATTTATACATTTTTTTACCCAAGAATAAACACTGACTCAATAGAGTTTCTGACAAAAAATATTTTATCTTGAATGATTAAATCTTGTTAAGTAGTAGTAATTTTTTTATTCAAATCTAAAGAGTGAGAGTTATTAAATAATAAATAATATATATGTATACATACATATTGAAAATAAAGTAATTAATTGGTAAATACAAGCTGTATTATGACAAAAATATATACATATAGCAGGTTCATTTACATGACATTTCAAATGGTAGACTCAGTGTATGCATCAATTTTATATGAACACGATTGTCTCTAGTTGCGAAATTTGTTAAGACACTAAAAAGTGTCGCTTCAACAACTACATGAACACGTTGTTTTCGAGTGTCTTGTCTATATGAAGCTTTAGAACAGGTTTTAAAATATTTTGGACACTTCACCGCCTTGGAGTGTAAGAAATGAGTATCACGTGGAACAAGGAAAAGACAAATAGACTACTAGGATATATACTTTTTATTCAGTTAATACAAAAATAGAGTAAAAATACATCTGACTTTTATTTCGCGGTTTATGAGGTAGTCTTATCGTTACATTAGATCCTTACTGCTGATTTTCCCATTTCGTATGATAAAAATTTTCAAATAAAATACGAAACTATACATTTTTAAGCCATAAAAATGACGACTTAATTTTTTTGCGAAATGACTTTTTCGGTGAAAAACGTTGAAGGAAGAATATATTCTCGTTGGGTCTAAATATTTTTACTAGTAATAGAAAAAACATTTTCTTTCTAATTTAATTTATACATAGGTATCGTTAAAATGATTAAATTTGAGTAATTAAATCACATGAAAATTAATTGAGTAGGATTTTTGATTGAAAAATCTTAAACCCATAGCATAATTTGTTGGAAATTTTGTAGAACATATTCTAGATTTAAATATTTTAGGTAATGGAATTTCAGATACCTACATACCTTAATTATTCTTAGTTTGAAAATCTCGGTAAAACAATTTCATTTACTACATAATATTATATTAAAAAGACTATTTTCGATTTCACAATTTCAAGATACAATAACCAAAGTTATCACAGCATTGTAATGAGTAATAGAACAAGTATGTCATTGCCTTAATATTTTTCTATATAAAGCGAAATCATTAATGATATGAGTTAAATAAAATAAATAAAACATAAATACACTTAATTTTTCTCAAGAAAACATGAAATTACAGCAAACTAAAGACATCTATTACAGGAAACTAAAGACGTAGGAACGAAACAGAGTATAGTGATTTACATGATGTTTTTATTTAAATAAATAAAATAATATATTCTTTATATCATCACAACAGTTGAAGTGTATTGGACACGTGCATTTAAATTGACCCAATGTAGAATTAATCGCTTATCTAATTAACTACACAATTAAGGAATCAGTTCTTGATTGTATCTTCCATTCACACTTATGTTGTTGTTACTTTTGACCAGAATACATTCAATATTATTATTATGTGCAAGATCTAAACTGATTACAACATTGTATATTCATAGCAGTATAATTATAACAATTTATTCTACTAACTACTCGATGTTTGTCATTTTTCTGACACACACTACTTACAAAATAAAACAAAAAATAAAGTAACCTGTATTAAATGTGTATGAATATTTATGTCCCATGATCTAAATTTATTTATTTAAATATATCCATAAAGATAAACTGTTGCTTTGTTAATGTAAAAGGAAGCGTTTATTCAGATATAAGCATATATTTTTATACTTATATAGTTATAAATATTTATGTATTTTATTTTATACGACGGAATTTTACAAGAATACAGATTTAGTTTTACTGTTAAGCAAAAATATAATGGCCGTTTACCTCGAAGAAAACTATTTCTATAACTCACGCATATATGTATGCGTTAAAGTTATAAACATATAAAGCTTTTCATTGAAATCATAAACAATCAAAAGCAAATTTATTTTTTTATTATTTTAATAAACACATTTAGCATTTAAATATGATAATTCAATAATTTTGTTTTGCAGTTTCATTAATTTATGCCTAGTTTTTACATATGTATGGACGAGTTTGCAAGTTGACAAAATATTTGGCTAGAGACATTGGAATCAAACAAGTTTTACGAGTAATGACTTATCAATTCCTATGCCATTATGTATTAATCTAATAAAACGAGACTACGGATGTGAGAACAGGTCGAAAATATTTATTCCTTGATTTCAAATATTTTATATTTATAAATACAAGAAATAAAGAGTATATGTGTTATTTTAATTATCCTTTTATTGTACCACAGCCGCTCAATGTCAAACCTTTAATAAATTTTAAATTTGGGTTTTAAAAAAAGTAATTCAGCTGATTTGATGTTGCTAGGATATTTTTTTCTTTTATAATATAACAATATCTATCAAGGAAAAGTAACTATTAAAATTAAAAGTATTCTAAAGTATATCCTATAATTTTTAAGCCTACTAATTGTTATTACGTAAAAAGTAAAATTTTTAATATCTCATTGGTGATTGGAATGAGTCTTTGTTATTTGACACGACATTTTACGGGGCATGAGTAAATTGATACTTTCCCATCAGGTACTAATGAAGGCCTTTTGAGATAATGAAAATGTTCTATAATTAGTTATTTCGAAACTGTTATTTGATTTATTTATTTTTAAAGTGTAAATAAAAAGCGTTTATTAAACAAAACAAAGTTATATACAATAAAGTAATACGTAAGGAGTATAAAACACTATTATTTCGTAGTTATAATATAGAGATTTCTGAGTTTCAACAGCTGGTATCATTATTAATTATTTTAATGTATTAAGAAGTAATAATAAAATGAGGATTATATATTTCATATTCTAATTAGTCTTCCTATATCGATCATCTTTGATATTTAAATATATTTTCATAATTACATAACGGAATTTTACAAACATTTTTGAAAGAATTCTAGTTTGCTTTCTTTATTCCAATATACTTGATTCAAAAGCATTCTTCTGGCCTCGTTCATAAATAAATTATCATTATTTTTAAAATATTATTATTTTAAAACACTCCTTCAATATTATTTTAAACTTCATCAGTATTTCACGAATTTAACGAATGCTAGCATCAAATTTGTATATTTTAATTTTAACTGTTACGTTTAATTGAAATATAAATAGCTTTATCCTTTTAAATTTTCCTGCTTCGAAAATAATTTAACTTATTAAAAGGTTCATAATCTAATTATATTATTATAATAAATCTTACGTAATACCCTTCAAGCATAAATAAATGCAAATTTAAACGTTTGAAAAACACCTGAAAAATAAATATATATCAAGCAATTAAAAATAAATAAATAAATACTTATTAATATAGTATCAAGCAAGGAAATAAAATTATAATTGAGGCTTTAGGAAATTATAACACAATTCAGTCATGGCAATAAGATCAATTAAAACCTACGATTTGAATAGAGCACTGATAATCTCGCCAATAATTTCACAGATATTAATAACAATAAAATCACACTAATCAAATTTATAAAATATATTATTTATTTTATTTATGTGTTCAAAATCTAATTTTAGTGAAAGAACTATTAGTATATATGGACCTTGAATCAAAAACTAATATCAATGGTATACAATATACACCGTTACGAAATATTCATCTTGACCGAGTTGAAAAAAAATTAGGACGTATTATGTACGTGACGTCTGCAAATTGCAGGTATTGATTAAAACACGTACCTATATTCCTAATTAGTTCCAAATAATTTAGCAAACGGAGCGAGCGCTATATTTAGTTATTCAAGGTGAATTATGGGGAAGGCTACACCAACCGACTGACATCAGGTCTAATTTCTCTTTGCATACTCTCACCAGGTTCACGGAGCAACGTAATATCATGATAAATTACAAATTAAATAGTAACAGCAACTAGCTGATAGGCAGTAGTCGAACAGAGTCCGACCAAAACACTCGCCTTGTAATAACCTTACCGCCAATCGAGAGTCGTACGCGGAACAATTCGCCGGTGGTTATCAGACGCTCTTACGCTTTTATTGTAATAAAAAATAAATTAATTATATTATGTTAGAGACAAATGAACTTTGCTATAGAAATACATAATCAAGATGACGTTGCGGGTCGAGGTGCCCGGAGAGAAAATCATATCACATGTGCATATAGAATCATGCAAGTGCAAACCGTTTGAGAACGAGCCAATAAAAACCGAACAAAATATTAACGGCAGGGTAAAAGAGTTTATTAAAAAAACATGGGCGTTAAGATCCAAAGTGACAGTGGAACCGTATGTAATATGCTATGTGCTCCCAAGTGTTTTAGCAGGATTAGCTGTTCAGAATTTGTGTTTAGAAAAATCATGTCTAGTGAATTTAAAATATGACGAAGACACGTGTTACCATATTATGCAAGGTCGCACCTCCAATTACACGGAACAAGAGGAGAACGTTCAGAAGATGGTAGCCAGTATGACCGCTTGGAGCTTTCCTCTGCAGACTGCCTTACCTGGAATATTAACGCTATTTGTTGGCGCTTGGAGCGATCGAACGGGGAACAGAAAAAGTTTTATGGTACTACCGATCCTAGGAAAATTAATTTCATGTTTTGGTATTATTCTTAGCACAGTATTCTTCCTTTACGTCGGTGTAAATGAAACGGCACTTATAGAGGGTGTCCCTCCAGCATTGGCTGGTGGAAGAGTTGCTATGACTATGGCAGTATATAGTTACATTACGGATATAACAAGTGAATCGGAACGGACTTTTCGTTTGGGGATTATAACCGCTATTTTGACTCTAAGCAGGCCGATCGGGCTTGCACTCAGTGGAATAATGACGAGGCGTTTCGGTTATTATGGTGTTTTTTACAGTAGCTTGTGTTTTCTACATGACTGGTTTTATATACATCCTGTTTAGATTAAAAGTAAAAAAGAAGAAATCTATAGTAAAAGAGGAATCCCAGACAGTTTTGTCTATGTTCTCAGTTAAGGATCTCGCAGCGACTGTGAATGTGGCTTTCAAATCCCGACAGGGATCGAGACGTTTGCAGATAATTTTAATCATGTTGGCATATATGTTCATCGTCGGACCAGTATTAGGTAAATATGACTAATATTTTCATAACATTACATCTATTTTTATAATTTTTTACGTAATATGTTGTAAGTATATTACGGTGAAACCGCAGGTGGACTTATTATAAAATTATTTGAAATCAAATTTTGTCGTACGCTATATGTTATATCGTAAAATCTTACCACATGTTCTCGGATCGCTTGATTTTATTTTCGTTTTATGGCTGTATGTAAAATTCCTTTTTCTTTCGTTATTGTCAACTAAAGTTAGTGTAAACCTAGCGTCATAACATGAGTAACAGCATAATGTTCAATAATTGCGATATAACAAAACATTATTTCAAGTTATTATAAAAACATTTCAAGATACCTAGACGTTAATTTGCATAAAATGAGAATTAATTATATGAATATTATACCGGTCATATTACTTTGAAACAATATATTATCAATAATCTGATACTTACAAAATTTGATACAATAATAATTAAAGAAAGCGATTAAGGTGTTGCCAACATTAACTCTATTTAAAAACATTTAGTATTCTCATGGTAATTCAATAAAAATCCCGTAAAGTACTTCTTATACATTATATTACGCAATTTTTACATCAAACAAACGTGTATTCATAAAGGTTGGAGTATTATTAGTGAAATCAAACTAAGAACAAATGATTTTATTAATCAGAGCAAGCTTTGTTTTGTTTTATCTTTGTTTACATTGTATAAGGTTAAAGTTTATTTTCTCCAAGCACTAAATATGTATATCTAACTTCTGTTCGTTTTCTGATAAACTCAACGTTTAGATTCTAAAGACACAGAATTTACAGTTTGTCAGAAAGTTTTGTAATCACGAGGCACAGAAATAAAATAATTTGCATAACTTGTACCTATAAATTGAAATCCTTTTATAAATTAGACGCTTGTAGCTTGAAATTTTAGGAATAACAATAAAAATGAAATATTTTATTACATTAGAACTAATTTGATATTAAGAATAGACAGAACACTGTAAAAATCTTTGTCATTGCTTACTTTTACCGTAATGCGTATTACAAATTATTATCGATAAGTTCATTACACTTATGTAGTTCTACTTTATAACATTAGGTACATTTGCTTAGACAAAAATAAATTATTCAATAAATATATCAAAAGTTTGAGACATATAAATAAAGAACGGATAACGAGTACTGTTTAAGCAGATGAATCCATATATTAATGATTTATATAATTAAATAAGTGAATTATTATATACTTAAAACATTTTTTTTGTATCTACATTTAATATTATAGATGACATCAATTACATTTAATGACATTGTTAAAAGCCACAGCCCATTAACGTTGTAACATTGAAAATACAGGTTGTTAAAACGATAAACACTATTATTTGGCTTAAACGATATTTTTGTCTATTGAAGTGTACTTAACAATAGCAATGATACTTTTCTCCTTGTTCTTCTTCTTTGCCCTTGAAATACATTTATAGCACCATGACTGATATGTCAATACAATAAAATATTTGACTCCCAAATATAACCAAAATCTTTTCCAATAAATATTTTTCAAAATAAACTAATGTTTATTTTCTTGAAATGTTATATTATTTATATTTATATTTTTTGTTTATTGAAAAAAAAACTTTAAATACCCAATTAAAAGCATCGTTGCATGAAAAATATTCATGAAATTATATTCTAAGAATAGTTTTCCAATATTTTCCCTATGAAATAGATGATATAACGAACGCTAATCATTTATTTCAAAATATAAAGTAAATATTGTTAGTTTTTAATTTAGTAGTATTTTAAGTTCCCCAAAACGGAAAAGCCGTTGTGGTTTAAACAAAGATAATGGTGTCAAATGTTAGAACATTGATACATTTAGTTTACGTGATCTATCTTAGCAACAAACACACGTCCATTACACAGATAATGTATGATTTAGTAATTCACGTGCATATAAAATGCTTTATTAAAAACATTTTCCAAGTGTCACAATACATAGACGAATTTATTGATATTCTTCTTCTTCTTCTTCTACCTGGCAATTTCTTAGCTGTAGCCAGGGTCTGCCTTACCTGTTGTGAATAGTTTTGGCTTATTGTTTTTAAGACCGGCCGCCTGTCTGACATAAACCCTCTTTGGGATTGTATAATTGTATATATGTAAACAATACAACGAATAATTTGAAACACAAGTAAATGTTGCGTTTGAAATGCTAATAGACAAATTCAATTTATCTTTAAAACTTATTATGTTAACGAATCTTTAAATTTGTCATTAGAAGTATTAAAACGTTATTTTTAGTATAAACTATTGTTATATACAGTTTACATGTCGCATGTTTAATATCTCCGTCCCAATTTTATTCGACATACTAAATGCTTATTATTTTATTAAGACAGATAAGGAGACCCCTTTAATTCTTGTTTTGTTGTTTGGGATCCTTAAATCATTATAAATATTACAAAAACAAGTTTCTTGCCAAAATATTATTTTTCTTTTGCGAATATTTTGTAAGTTGATACTTTAAGAGTATAAGATTTACATTTATTGCATAAATATCAAACTAATGTTTTGGTGCTCGTGTGTTTTATTCTTATTCATTTTTTGTCAAGTAATAAAATGAGAAATTAGATGAATATTTCATTAATTTACGAAATACTTCAAACGCGGGAATGCTTTTTATGGATCAGGCAAAAACCCTACTAATTCAAGTGTTTATTTTATTCTAATAAAAAGTACTTAAATTATATATTTCAAGGAGATCTGTTTTATAATTTTGCTAGTGAGAAAACTAAAAATGGGCAAACAGATCAACATGCATTAAACCACATACGTATTTGACTTTTATATTTTATATACCTTGAAACGTTTTGTAAAGCCGATTTTTATAGGAACAAACATGGGATTTAACTTTAATTTTCCCAAATATATTGTGTCGTACGAATAATAAACGAAAATTCACTAAAAATACAGTAAAAGAATTTTTAATATTTAATATATATGCATACATATCCAAAATAAAACAGTTGATAAACATGCTTTAAAAAAATTCCATTGATATAATAAATAATATATTCATTTAATTAGTAAAAATGGTGGCTTCGTATATGTAGAAATGATACCAAATAAAACTACTGAAATCTACTCATTAAAAATGTGACTGCATTTATGTAAGTCTTATCTACCCTTAGTTTTAAATTTCAAAATAAATTTGGAGGTAAGATTGAATGGTAGTATTTTAAATCTTCCTTTATACATGCTCTAAGTTACTAAGCAAAAACATTTGTTATGTCTATCTCATATTTGCTACTTATACATTCAACATTAATCGTAATGATGATGTGTCTGTTTAATAACGTTCTATTGTTCTAATTTTCTTAATATACGAGTATTATTAGTCAAAGAGCAATTGGTGTTTTTAAACAATCTTTAACGGTTCTTTATTAATTCATAATAGTATGATTTTCAAAACCTAGAATAATTCAGGCTAGGCTTCTATTACAAGTCAAAAAGCTTTAAAAAAAATAATCATTGGACACTGTAAATTTGATGTTTCGTTTTAAGCCTAATAAATGCAATCTAAGCTATACTTGCAAAGCATTATAAGATTTTAAGACGAAAAACTCCCAACTTAATAGATCTTAAACATTAAACTCCGTGAACAAAGAAATTAATTATTTCCTATTTCGTACAAAGTCCTCCGATAATTTATACGTCCCATTTAGCTTATCTGCTACTCAATGTTTTGTTTAAATCCTAACGACAAATGTCAATAGAACAAACACACGACCGTATAATGTATCGATATATGTAGGTTATAAATTTTAAATTATAAGTCTTGATTATAATAATGAAAATTCATATTCATTTAAATGAAACTAATATCATTCGGATATGTACATATTTTTGTAAGTCTTATTAATATATATCAAAACCGTTTCATGTTTTCATCTTTTTAAATTTAATGTTAGGTATATAAAATTGGTGAAATATTTTAAGATTACGTATCATTTCATGTCAAACAAAAAATATTTATTTGCATCGTCTTTACGATATTTAAAACTAGGTTATTTTTATTACCTAAGACTTTAAGGAAAATAGAAAATAAGATGATTATACTATTTATTATTATAATGAAAAATATTTTCACCTTATTATAAGGTATCTTAAAATTAGAAGTTCAAAAATTCGACATTACATTCATACATTCTGAGCAAACAATGTATATTATAACAGCTGTCCAAGTTTTTACATAACTTTTGTTATATGTTAATAAACTAATTATATTTATTTTATTTCATAAGGCGAGGCTCAAATGACGTATTGGTTTACCCGCTACAAGTTTAAATTCACTGAAGTTGACTACAGCCTGTTTCTCACATACTCCGTTCTCGTTGGCACTATCGGTAAGTAAAATACATTTTAATTCTCTCATAGTAGATGTATAGTATTTTCCTTTTGTGTTTAATGAGTATTTTTGCCATACACATAATGAATATGTTAATTCACTCCCATGCTTATATATGTGATAACTATTTTGATTTCAAACTTTGCAATATATACGAATATGAATAAGTTGATTAGATTAACTTACGAGTGACAAGACTTTGGTCAACTCAGAATACACAACAAGAATTTGAAATTACAATAGCTTATTAAAGATTTCTTGGTTTAACAACACTTTTTCGCCATTTACTTTACATTGAGATGGTACAATTAAATAGGTTTTATTTTTGTAAATCAAATATGATTGACTTTTTAGAAACGATATATTAATTTAAAAATAATAATAAAGTTTAGCATAAAGGTCCAAGTTTCATACTATTCTGAAAACAACTATAAAAAATACTAGTTTCTCATAGAAACAAAAAATATTTAAAATAACATCGTTTATTCATTGTTATCAGTTTTTAAATATACAACGACCTCAAATGAGATCTGAATAAATCATCAAATACAGTCAAAAATGTTCTAAGTATCAAGTCCTTGAGAAAAAAACTCAAAAAATTTGCGTCACCATGAAAAATCACTCTTAGTCTCTATAAACAAGATATAGGTTCTCCTTCCGCATAGAGTCTAAATAACTACATAGAAATTTGTAATTGTTGGTTCAACATAATTAAATATATCATTTTAAATCGATTACTCATAATCTTTATCGTCATTAATATACAACATTCATGTTATATATGTCATTAATATCTGTAACCTATAAAATGATGTTAATAATAATTTGTTAATTATATTGTGTTCATATTATTTTAATTAAATAAATAGTTTAAATTATAGTTTTGGAAATGCGTATACCTACAATAATTTGGGATACTTTTTTTAGTATATCAGTTTTGAGCGCGACTTCGTATTTCTGAAGCTGTTTAATAATCCACAGGCTATTAATAACTAATATATAAATGCATTTTCATTCAACTTATGTTTATGTACCTAAAAATATTAAGAAAAATAAGGAAGAAAGATAGTTAGTTAGTCTAATGATTTTAACTACATAACATTATAGTATTCCAAAAATCCTCTAAATTACTCGTGTTATGTGCTTCCTAAGTTAATTGTATCAACAAACGATTACAGAACGTGTGGAACCGAAGTTATTTGAATAGGTATAACATAATTAATAATCTATATTCACTAAAGATAAAACGTCCACACATATACAAACATATACGTATCTGGTTATTGAACTTTATATTTTAAATAAATACGATGAAAACGTAATGAAGTAAGAGTTTCGCGAGTATTCATTTAAATGAAACAAATATTGTCGTATTACTATTTACTACTCGTAATTTTAATATTTTGAAACCGTGAACCAACAACCGTGATCACTGTCGATGATGGGGATGAAATATTAGTTTTATTTACAATCAAACAATCTTCATATACTCAAAATGTTACCTATGAGACCTTTTTTTATATTGGAGCGTTTCATGTGGTTCGTCTTATGACCACAAAAATAGCAGAGAATCTTTAATATAGAGAGTATGTATGTATGTTTAAAAATAGTTACTATTGCATCACAACGTCTTATGAATTGAATGAGAGGCACGCGTCCCTTCCACTCGGGCATGGTTAGCCCGCCTAAGAGCGAAAGAGACAGACATAAAAAGTGAAAGGCACGCGATCCTTCTACTCGAGCACAGTTAGATCCTTCCCCTTTATTGTGTAATAAGATTTTGATAATAGGTATGTAATTCAGTGCGAGATTCTTTGTATAAATTAATATTTTAAATATAATAATTTGTATAAATAAATGTTTTAAATTGTTACTATTATTTCATCCTTCTTCCTACTATACGAATGAATATTCACATTAAAATTATTTTACCACTCAAAGTCACGTAAAACTTTCGCCCGTATACCGACTTTACAGGCAACCAATTATTCCACTCAGTTCCTTAATTTTCGGGTCAAATTCACCTTAATCTTCCTTTGGTAAAAAAGGATGTATATGTATTTCCAACTCCTTAGTCCAAACCTATTTGGGAGACAAGGGTCAGCTGACGCGATTGCTACTTCTCCTATTCAGTAATTCCGTTACCGCATAACTAAGTAACTTAATTCTAAAATAATTTTATATACAGAAATAAACAGAATTCCAAATAAAAAGACAAAGATATACCTAAACTAATACATCCAAATACCAAATTAGGATGGAATATGAAATACAATAATAAATGTTTAGATAAGTAGAGCAATAAATAATTTATCAATAAATAATAAAAGCTGACAACAGTTGTTACTCCCATTATATAAATTGTGATATGTTATAATAAACAATGTGTATACTTAATCTTTTAATTGCGTTTAGTTTATCGGAAACATTTGAAATTAACCTAATCTTAAAGTCAAGACTTGGAAAGTGTTAAATCATCGAAAAAAAACTCTTATGTCCTACTAGTCTCCTATTTGAATTATAAAAAGTAACAGTAAATTACAACCGGGCCCGGGTTCGATCCTGGCCAATAAGATTTTTTCGAGTCATATGTACTTTTTAAGAGCATTTCTACAACACTGACAGACGGTGAAGGAAAATATCGTGAGGAAAACTGGACTTAAAATTTCACAATTATAAGTTTGAAATCACAAACCCGTCTTGAGCAAGCGTGGTGATTAATGTTCAAACCTTCTCCATGTGAGAAAGAGGCCTTTGCTCAGCAGTGGGCTCTGATAGGCTGATGACGAACTGAATTTGGTCAACTCTATTTAAATAAATGCATCATAGGAGAATTTATTATAGCACTAACAAACAATCATATAGTCATTACTTTATTATATTTATTATTGAATTAGTTATACTGGGATTCATATTCTTTTGTCTTTTATTTTAAAGAATTCTTTGAAACAAAATTATATATCGATCTTTATAGAATTGTTAAGTTCTATAAAATCAAACTGTTATGGATATTAACAGGAACATGCTATAAGCTAGGGACAGAAAAGTAAATACATAAAATGCTTGTCATATATCTTAACAAAAATATTTGGGTGAAGTTTGATGAAAGTAATGTATGAAAATCTTCCAAAAAATTTATTATGACTAATACATTATAAACAGTCAACAATTATTTTCATTTCTATCAGAGTCTTGCAAATCAACATCGTAATATTTTTCTCCAAAAATCATCCCATGTATAATTATTGTTGTAAACTGTAGGTAAATACTAATCACTATAAGCAATTACTGGATTAGTTTTTAATATTTTCCTAATACTATGAATTAATTATTTAATTTCCATTGTTTTTTTCGTAAAAAGTCAATTTCTAATCGCTTACGCTATTTTGGTAACACAATTAGTCTTAATATTTTAAAATGATTTATTTTTTTAAATTATTAACTAACCTTGTATTTTTCTTGACCTAAAATTCAAACAAAATTCAATTCTTGAGAGAAAATCGTGAATATAGATTTATATTTCTGAACTAAAATATATATTCATTTATAAATAAGAAAATAATTAATATACTAGAAAAATAAAATGACTCATAAATTTAAGAAAAAAGTCTTGATTACAATCGTATTAATAAGCATCTTTTAAATAATGTCTTTTATAAGATTTCTTAGAAAACTATCAAAAGATTTCATCTTCAAATAGCTACTTGACAGTTTTAACGTTTAGTGATTAGATAATAATGTCCAATGATTATACAAAACAAATTTCAAAGTTTCCATGGAAATATTTGTTTGTTATTACGCATTTCCTTCCGTTAATAATCAATCGTTATCAATGATAAGAAAATGTTACTCTGGTGAGAGTATTCTATGGGCTACCACTTTCCTTTTATACACTGGTATCCTTTATACATATTTATAATTTATTAAATGACTTTCTCTCGACACGAAAACCATTAATGTTCTTAAGGTATTTTATCAAACCACAAATTTCCTTAACATTTTTATCTATAGAATCATGAATGATTTTTTATTCCCAGGTTCTTTCGTAACAATATATCTGCTAAGCAAAAGATGGAAGATAGAGGACAGCATTATCGGCATGGTGGCGTGTGTGAGCAGGATAGCTGCTAGTCTAGTATATGCTATGGCTCCTACCAGAACTATATACTTCATTGGTCCAGTTTTGGATATGTTCAGTTCAGCTGGGGCGACATCCTTGCGGTCCATTGCAACGAAACTTGTGAAGACGGATGAAGTCGGTACGAATATAAAGAAATATTATGAAATATTAAACGTGTAATTTTTTATTAACAAACTTGGAACATTTTACTCAGGCTAAAACGTAAAAAAATGCGTACATACTATCTACGCAGTTCACTATTGTTATTAACATAGTTTTGTCTGACAACAAAGGTGAAAATGACATCACATTCCCCAGATAGAATGACAGGTGTACTAAGCCAGATAAAGCATAATGTTTTATTTGAATTGCATCAGAAGTCTTCAATTTAAAATTTAATGTACAAGCGAAAATAGTTTTTAAAATTCCCACGAGAAGGTCCAATTTTTTTCCTAACATTTTGCCATCGTCTTGTATATAGTGAAATTAGTCATTATCTGGGACAAACAATTTTTGTTATGTGTTATAAAATTATAGTATAAATAAATACGCAATAGATGTGTTTGATTCGTACACGGTTAATGAAAATAATTACATTACATAAGTGCATGTAAATCATAGTAGGTACCTACATATATGTTTAAACGATGTTAAATAATTGATAAACATACATTATAAACGCTAAAGTATGTCAGGATAAGTCTCAAGGTATCCATAATGGTTGTATCGCTGAAAAAAAACGAGTTTTTGGAGACTGCATACAGTAATGTAAAGTGCATCTTTATATAGAATTATTCATAGTCATTAATACTCATCTTACTTAAATTCTGCATAGTAACAGACAATCTAGATGTTAAACAGAAAACGAAAGAAATCTATATATATATTTATTTTGCCGGTTTCAGCCAATGGTAGAAATATGTAAATGCATTTTTAATTACCGTCTCTCTCTAATAATTACCTACAACAAATAAATAATCTATTTATATTTTAAATAGTTTTTTTCTTACGCTTCACTAGCATCGTTATCTCATATTTATATTTCAATGAAAAGAGGTACACTTATAAACAAAAAAATCTCTTTGGCTATGTTATGTTAATGAAAATTTTCAATTTCAGGTAAAACTAGCTCTCTAATCAGTATATCTGAGGCACTGGTACCCGTGATCTACTCCCCTGTGTACAGCAAACTTTATTTGAGTACATTGTCAACGTTTCCGGGGGCGTTTTATCTCATAAGCGCAGCTTTAGCCTTTCCAGCCATACTTATATATTTGTAAGTACATAAACCCATTTATATCCCGTAGGGAAACTTCCACGCAGTTTTTCCATTTAGATATAAAAAAAAATGATTTTGTTTTGAAGTGAAGTTTCAAACGTTTCAATTCAAAGTGAACACTCGAACTGCAAGAGACAGGGGTTTCAAAATCAACAAAAAACAGACCTTGCGGTTATTACATCTCACTTATCAATGCAATTTGATTTCTAATAACAAGAAACCTTGAACTGATTTTTCTATGTAAGAATATATTTAGGAAAATAAACGCCCTAAGCGACCTTACTATTTATGGAAAGCTATTTGTAATTATGGAATTTTGTTGTGATACAATATATACCTGTGTTATATTAAACAATTCTTTATACGCTTTGATGGAAAGTAAACACGAGGACTCACCAGTATTGAATGCTATTGTAAAAGTATTCTCCATAATAAATTATTCTTTTATAAATAAAAACGTCTAAAAATAGACCTTTCGATGCACTTAGATGTTTCGTTTGTAACGGAAACTTTCATTATTAAAAATAATAATAATAATAAATAAAGACCATTAGTTTCTATACGAGTTTTTGTAGTAATTAAATTTATCCTATTGTTTTTTTTTCATATTCTATTATTCATACATCAACCTCAGCAGAGACGTTACAGAGTTTTTATTTAAAATTCCATGTCGAAACGATTATCGCTGAATATTTATAAACGAAAAGATTTCAGTAATTACAATTAGAATGGAAAAACCTCAATGAGTAATATTTTCTCTCAAATTTTGGTCAAAACTACAAAATAAATAGTATCAAAAATATTTTTGTGTCATTATGTCCAGTATTAGATTTCAGTTATAAATATACTTATAAGTTATTAAAATCCGTACCAATTTTTATAGAACCCTATTCATCTTACGACGAAGAGACATCAAAGAAGACATCATGAATGAAAAACAGGAAAACGAGAAACAAGAAAGCAAATCCAAGGACAACGAAATTACTAGATTTTAATAAATTCAGTTGTGTATTTATTATTAAGTTATAATTTTATGCCTATCATGTACCTACTCTAAAATCTCAATAAATATAAGGTTTGTATTGAAAATGTCTATCATTTCTCTATGATTGTTCCAACAATATTTATCAAATATAAAAAATGCAAGACTTATTTTTTATTTTTCCGCCTAACCATATTACACGTTCGATTTAATTTTATTGCATCCAATTTATTATATTTAAAATGTTACAATTTAGTTAATAATAAAAAGTTGCCAAAGCAAAAAATCTCTTAATACATAGTACAATGTCTATGATATATTTTTTAATTATCTTTTAAAAAATACGAAATAAATTTAATATGCGAAACGATATCGGAAAATGTCTGACTTTCAAATTTCGTGTAAGGCTTTAATTAAAAATTACCTCATTCAAATATTACGTCAATGTTTAAATTTTAAAAATAATGCTTATCTGGATAGGAAAGGGTGCACTGTGAATTAATTTGTTCTTCTAGAGAAGCATTTAAGATTTCAACTAAAAGTATGTGACAAATCGTTTAAAGCAGACTTCATATTTATATCACATCGAAAGATCTTATATGTTATTATATTTAATGTTTATTTTAAGTGTATTCTTTCAGGCGTGTCTGATAAACACATTGTTGATGGACATACAAACAATAAAACGCCAACAGTTTTCATTGTTAAGTAAAGAACCTTGCGATTTAAAATAATTTATTATAAATCTATACAAACTATATTAACCAAAACGAACTGTTTAATTTTTGTTAAAATTTGGTAGTGAACAAAAAGATGTTAAAATTTAAATTTTATAAAATGTTGTATTGGCTGTAGCGACTGTCACAATTAAAATTTTAATTATATACGATGTTTTGTTATCGATAAGCAGAAAGCAGATATATGTAAATACTTCTATATTCAGGCTCATATATAATTAAACTGAAAGATAGAAGACCCAGTTCTTAATAACAGGGTAAAGAAACATTTTTTTATTGTGGTTGTATTCGCACTGGAATCGTGGAATATTTTGCCAATGTAAACGTTTTCATTTATTGAACGAATTATATTATAGTAAACATATTCATGGAAGTTTGTTATCAGTCACTGTCAAGTTGACAGTTTTCTGTCTCATTTATTAGCTTCTAAAGTAATGTATGTTTGATATGAAGAATTAACAGTTTTTTTTTGCTTTAGACAAAGATAAGGAGAAATATCTTTGATTCTTATACAAAAAACCAATCGAAATTTAAATACATCGCTTGTAAAAGTTTTTGATAAATGTGTACCTATATTAATATTAGTACTAAGTAAGAATTTAATGCTAAATAGAACAATTAAATGAAATATATATTTGTTGACGATTGTTTTTGGGTACTAGTTACCTAGTTACGCAAAAAATGAACCGGTTTACCTACATCAAATTTTAAATGCATATTATTTTACATTCAACAAGCATTTGCTTTAAATAAATTGATATATTAATAAGTAATTCATGATACAGTTGATAATTATTGTGATTACAAAATGTATAACGTCAAAAAGTTGATATAGTTGATTGTTATAAGGTATAAAATAAAAAGCATTACTAAATATTATTATATTAAAAACTGCAACACATTAAGCTATGTAATCTAAAATTTCATTTTAAAATTCTTTCCCCCTATTTTGGGCGTCTCTTTAGGTTTTTCCGTATATTTATTGCGTATTAACATTTGGATGTATTTTCCTTGTTGATTTGATGGCAATGAGATGTTCAGAACTTCGCAGTTCTTGATGATTTCAGTACACCCTCGAAGATCCCTTTGTTTCACTGTAAATAGAAACGTTACGTTAGTTATACTTATGTTTCTTTACTTCGGTAGACAACATGCTTTGGCAATATCAAGAAAGAAATCTAAAACAGTCCAGATATTCTTTTTTGTTTATTACTTTATTAAAAATTTTAAACATAGACACATTTATTAAAGAAAGTGATGGATTATTGGAAGAGTAAAATAATTAAGTTGAACACATAACTAAGAACCCTAGAAAAAAGGGGGAATTTAATCTATTGGACCTAAAACCGGATATTAAAGCTGACAGCTTAAAGACATACTAAAAAAAACATAATTGTCTTTCTTTTTTTCTAATATGAGCGTATTAAAAAGCATTCAGCATACAAGAAGAACTTCGTGTTCCTGAATCAATTTTATTAATAATTACCACTATATTAAAATTTTAAAGTTTAGAAATGTTAATTATAACAATAAAAAATGTAGTGCAGTGAATTGAGGACAATGTACCAACACTAGTGTCAACGATCAGTCTCCAAGGTCGACCTTGGGATCTTGTTAATAAAGAAGTAAAAATAACTAATTACGAATTCAACTAATTTTAACATCTTATTTGTTTTAAATAGAAACAGCTAGTATATAGAAACTTGACCAACTTTAAATCATCACCAATAATATTCTTTCTATATCTGTCATAGTTTTTGTTAATTTACGTTTTTATTTAACTCCTTTCTATGAACTGTTAACATAAAGCATATATAAAATTGTTATTTTACAAAACAATCTGAGATAGTATTATGAAAAGGAAATGATTGATTAAAGGGTAGAAGCCTCGAACCAGCCTACATTATCTATATTGGAAAAAATTCTATATTCTACGTCAAATCTGAATGCTACAAAAATGGAAAAAATACCTAATGACATAACAATAAAAATATACATAGATGACAAATAAACAGTTTCTCGTTTATAAAATCACATGGAAATAACTACATATAACGAGCTGATTAAAACTTTAAGGAACATGCAGTTCAATTTGAACTAAAAAAGTATCTTCAATCGAACCAAAGGGGTATTAAGTTATTGTAAAGAAAAATTTCTTTTTAGAGTGTATTGAATACACAAAAGAAATTATCAAATCTACCACAAATTATCCATTCAAAACCATAAAATTTATACGAAAATAATTAATCTATGAAATATAAATTTAAATTAAACTTCAATGTCTAGAAAATGTTTGTTAATTCATCATGATCATATATTTGTTTTGTATGTTAATTCATCATCATCATATATAAAACGAGATATTAATATATGTATAATAACTAATCTATACTAATATTATAAAGCTGAAGAGTTTGTTTGAAAGCTCTAATCTCCGAAACTACTGGCTCGAATTGAATAATTCTTTTTGTGTTGGATAGTCCAGTTATCGAGAAAGGCTGTAGGCTATATAACATCACGCTACGACCAATAGGAGCAAAGATATAGTGGTAAATGTGTAAAAAACGGGAGAAATTATTTCATCTTTGAAGCCTTCCGTTGCGTGCGCCGTGAAAACGGTTCAAGATACACAAAAAATATGTATTAAAGAATAATAGCTCTTTTAACGATCTAAAAAACAGTCCGCGACAGTATATGCCTATCTTTTAAGATTAACTCACAAAAACCGTTTTTATGGTACCTAATTTGGTCGAACTAATTTGTTTAAGTTGTATCAACATAATAATATTAATCTTTATTCAAATTAACAAATAAATATGTTGTTGGTTAAGAGTACTTTATTGTGACTTAAAAAAACATAGGTTTTATCCTGAAAATTCTACGAGAACTCGACCATTCCGAAAACCCAGCAAGAACGGGAACTATGTGGGAAGAACCAAAAATCTGCCGGAAGTCACTATTCCACGCGGACGAAGATGCGGCAAAAGCTAGTAAATAATAAAGGTGTCAGAACACCAACTAAGTATGTAACCCTCAGCCTCACTTTAACCATTAAATTACTTAACACAGGGACATAGGACATAAGAACGTGAATTTATTTTTCTGCTCAAGAAAAGACAAATACATTAGAGTGAAATATTTTTAAGAAAAGAAACAATGAAACAAATAAAGCAGCAGTGCAACTAGAAACCTTCCATGAAAAAAATACTGTACGATAGAAAACAAATCCTTACAAATACCTTCAAAAATATCAATGGCTAATAGTTTTCTATACTTATTTAAAGACTTAAATCTAATATATTCATATACTAATTAAGACTAAGTGTTTTGGAATTATTCTAACAGTTCAAACCATCACTAAGCAGATAGCAAGGAATAAGTCTATTCTATTATATATTATATTAACCCTTAATACATAGTTATGTTCATTTCGGGATCATTAAATGTCATTGATGCTACTAAAATAGCTGGTATAAATAAGGTCAACTGTATAGGATGAAGAGCTATATATGTTATATAAAACAAAAAGTAATAGGTATTGATGCCTTTGTAGTATTAGTCTTCTAAGTCACATATAAGCTCAAATCCATAAGATTTGGATGAAACGAGAGTACTGAGAGATGAATAAATATTTATATATAACAGTCGGTTATAGGAAATTAGTTATTTATCACTTGTTTCATTTAAAAAAGGGATAATTTCTCTACTAACTGCCTTTTCAACATTTTCTATAACTTTTTTAAACTTACATTTATAACCAAATAATATCTGAAGTACTTTGGAATATTCTGTCATCATGTCGTACTTTAACAGACTCTGCAACAGTCTCACTACAGCATCTTCATTGTATTCTTTGAGAAAATTAATACTGAATATTGTCGCCCTGAAATTTAAAAAGGCCACTATTTATTTTTATTCTAAGAAAGGTTTGTTAATGATTTACATAATTTTGAATTGAAGACTCAATGAAAATGAAACTAATATTTCTTATATTATACTCAACTATTTATTATTGTAAAGACTACACCCAATGTTTTAGTTACTTTTCAGCAACTGTGATCACGGGCAGACAAGATATCATATATCATTGAAAAATAAAGTTTCATTTGAATAAATACTCTCCAAAACCTTAATTCTCATCATGAAGCTTCAATGTTTTTTAATTCTTTAAAAAAACACCAAAAGGTGTGAAAGTTATAAAAAAATTCTTTTTCACACCAAACACCAACCGTTTCACTCTATATAGATTATGTATTATAAAATTTAAAAAATATTTTTATCAAATATGACTTACTTATCTCTTACTATGTCTTGCAATATTGGACAGGTCTCTAATAACTCATTTGAGAGCATCTGGTCCGAGAACCAATTACTGCACCACAAGGAATGCCAAAAACAAATTAGAGGATAATTTTCATCCCAACTTTTACTAAACTCCAACACATACTTCTTAAAAACAACTAGTGAGGCTTCCGATCTGTTGTTGATGGAATCATTGATAAGTTCTCTAAAAATTATTCTGTAAAAATTTCGAAGACCTTCATATTTAATGTACGCTAGTTTTAGTACTGATAGACCTTTTTCAGAATTACCTCTCATGCATTCTGCTTTAGCCACATAATGAAGAAATTCACCATTCCGTTTGTATAGACGAGGATCCAGTTTTTGACAATATTGTTGAAGTAATTCTACAGTGTTCACCTTACCGAGAATGCTAAAATGTCTAAATATCTTCTTCAAAGTAAATTCAGTGATGTATTTATGTTTATCGGTGCATTCTTTTAAAATTGCTTGAAATTGCTGATTATTATTCTTAGTCAATAAATCCTGTAGGTATTTATCGATCTCGTCTGTTGTCATGTTAGCTACTTCTATATCTTTTGTATTGTACAACTTCATAAAATGTCTCAGGCTGAAATCATTTGTGTACAAATTTTTGTCCTTTAAGATAGATTTTTGTGGAGGGTCCGTCGTAAAGTGATCAACCAAATCTACTGTTGTCGTATACCATGCTATAGATCTATATTTTCGCGCAATCTTTTGTATATACAGGAATCGCAGTAAGGTACTTCCAGGTTTTATATGCTGCATTTTTAGATGTGTTTACAAAATCTTTATCAGTTTTACTTACTTATAGATTGTTGGAGAGTGTACAATTATGTTTAACAATCTACATTTTATCAAATATTAAAAATTAAAATGTTTTTAATTCCTACATGAGTATAAAACAATATTATAGCATTATTTATAATGCAATTGTCAACCTCTTGTATTATTTTGACATTTGACAGTGATATTTACCAATCGTCATTCGTCACCTGTTACTTCAGACTAAGAAGTGTGAGTTACCTGTATTATGTAGGAATATCAAAATTAATTTATTTACTTAATAAATAAATTAAACTCTCTAAATGGATTATCAATTCTTTATATGTGCGTTTTCTTTGTTCAAAATTTTTATTGTTGAGAGACATCTATTGTTGAGTACCCAAAAGGTAAACTTTAATAGAGACAACAATATTTAATAGATGGCAGTGTCTCTATTTATTCTTAAATGAAATATGTACTTTTCGACCAGTGCCGATAGCTTTTAAAACATAATTAAATTATAGTAGAATGAAACTCATTAGAAAAGGAGGGGAATATTATAAAAATTAAGAGGAAAATAATTTACGGGCGATCTGAGTTCGGGAAGGGTACGGGCGTGGGTATTTAAGGGTAAAAAATGGGTTTTCTTTATTTCCGGAAAAACTAAGAGTCCTAATGAAAAATGTTGTATGGCAAAGTTGTAGATAATAAAAAGATCTAAAACTTTTGTGTTTACACTTTTTTCACATAACCTGAAAATTTATGTCATAAATTTGAAAAACCAAGTTTTTGGTTTTTTATTTTTATCTCTCATTAAAAACAATTTTTCGTCACGAAATTTTGAGAAAACTTCCTTTTGATGAAACAAATACAGTGTAATTTATTTGATTAGAAATATTTATTTTTCCAGCTTATTTTGAATAAATACCGAAAAATCAGCCTCATTTTCAATCGAAAAATCACCCATCAAAATATTAACTATTTTGAAAAATTTGGTATGTTTTCAATTCGCTGAAATTTCTATTTTCCGATGGTGAAGAAAAAAAAATAGTTGTGTACTCTGGAAGTTCTCCAGATAGTTCCTCTTTTAGGTAATTTACAGAAAATTGACATTAAGCTGCTAAAACTATTAAAAATAAATTGAAAGAGCATTTTCCAAGCGATATCGAGTGTCATTTCATTAAAAGGGACATGATTATTTTATCCAAAAATGGTACTGCAAGTAAGAACTTATAATTATTTCTTCACCATCGGAAAATAGAGATTTCGAAGAACAGAAAACACACCAAATTTTTGAAAATAGCAAATATTTTGACGGGTGATTTTTCGATTGAAAATGAGGCTGATTTTTAGCTATTTATTCAAAATAAGCTGAAAAAATAAATATTTCTAATCAAATGAATTACAGTGTATTTGTAATAACAAAAGGAAAGTTTTCACAAAATTTCGCGACAAAAAATTGTTTTTTGTAAGAGATAAAAATAAAAAACCAAAAACTTGGTTTTTTGAATTTATCACATAAATTTTCAGGTTATGTGAAAAAAGTGTAAAAACAAAAATTTTAGATCTTTTTATTACCTACACTTTGCCTTATAACATTTTTCATTAAGACTCTTAGTTTTTCTGGAAATAAAGAAAACCCATTTTTACCATTAAATAAGCACGCCCGTACCCTTCCCTACCTCAGATCGTCCGTAAATTATTTTTCCCTTAATTTTTATAATATTCCCCTCCTTTTCTAATGGGTTTCATTCTACTATAATTTATTTTCTCTTTTCATCATTTTTAGAGGCATCTGCACTGGCCTATTTTCTTTATTAAAAATTGAATTTACCTAAAAGAATCATAATGACATAAATTCACATAATGCATTAATAAATTGTTTATTTAACATTTTATTATTGATTTAATGCAATTTTCAAAATCTCTAGGTACTGAATTAATGTGAATTTTTAAAATGTAATCAATTAAACATAAAAAAATCAGAGACTGAAAAAACTTATGATATCGTTAAAGATTACATTGTAAACAACTTAGGTAGATAATTTTGGTTCATATGGTCCAACTGTTTCTTTGAATTCGAAATGAAATCGATCTTAAAAAATATATTGTTTTGTGATTTTGTCGGTATCTCCAGTCAGATTCCTACAACAAGCGATAGGTTAATTCTCCCAACTAGTTTCAAATTTAGCTATTTTGTTAGGTTTTCCAAGATGACGAGAATATTGACCGGTATATTAACTTCCAAATGAACTCATAGTGTACGAAATAACGACAGAGCTTTATAATTAAAAAGGTGTATAAATGAGGTAAGCATAAGACGTGCTATGTTATATGAAGGTTTATGAAGAATCAGAAGTGTAATAAGTATGTCATTAGTAAAATCTTGACTAAAACTACTACTTCGACTTCTATACTATATGTAGGGCACTTTAACTACTGAAAGTAATCGTTTGAGTTTCAAATACTGATTTGAATTTCTCAAAAGTCTAATTTTATTTTATAAAAGATAACAAATCATTTCTCTTAATGAAGAGTTATAAAATTCTAAAGCCATTTTATCTCGACACCTCCCTACTTGAAGTAATATATTTATTATTTGGTTTTTAAAGGGTCATGATGGGGCAACTTTAATAATATAAGCCCGCAGTTGTCTCTATAACCAACCAAATCGAATAAGTTATGCTTTGTTTTTAAACTGTCACTACTGAACTTTTTTTTAATTATTAGAATCACCCTTTGATGGCTTTATTGTTTTAAGTGAGTGTTACGAATTAATTTGCCTGAAATTAACAGTTAAGGAGAGCTTATGATATTTAAGTTAGATATATAATCAGAGTATTATTTATAAAAGTGAAACATCTTTCGTGAATAAATAAAAGTTTTGCTGACATAACAATAAAAATAAACTCTCAAACAGCTTGAGCTACAGGTGTAACACACACGCTTTCGTAGATACGACACCTAAAGTATCTTACCGTACCTTATGTACATACTTTTATAAGAATTATCGTTACTTTAAAAATATTATTCGTATAAGATTTAAATTTTCAATAATCTTCTTGTTATAAAAATACATTACCATTATAAACTTTTCACTCCCATTACATATATTTAAGTCTATTATATCGTTTGAGGCTTTAAAACTGTCACAATACGACTAAAGAATGGATAATATATTCACAATAGGTTGTCGTTATCGATAAAATCGAAATGATATCGATAAACGATTCAACATTTCGTGGTGCCCTCATTGTGCTGTCTACACCCCTATTATGAGGATGCAGGATGCTAAACTAGGCGTGGTTATCAAACAATAGTCCTTATTCCGCGCTTGTCTAGTCTCAGCGTTTTATATCTAGATCGTGTGACGATTGCTTTTGTCTAATGCCGCAAAGGAATTCTTTGGGAGAATTTAAATATTTTATTCCCTTTGTTACCTTTGTTCTGGAATAGATTACAATGACAAGCATTCACTAAAGAACCGTGAAATTTTAAATTACTAGCTGCTTCGCAAGTTTTTGTTCACAGTTATAATTTACCTCAAACAACCCAATCTCATGTTTTAATATCTTTAATATCTTTTTGAATCCCCGTAGCTATTTATTGAAAATGTCCTTACGGCATACCACTTAACAAGCCTTTACTTTCAAGTATATACATTTTTTGAAGTAACATCACATTCAATAAGACAAGTCGTAGTGTTTTCCTACGGAATATTCCTTTCCAAATAAATACTTTCTTATCAGAGGTATTCTTACATTTTTTTAAGTGTCGTAGACGAAAATAGTATAAACTATAAAGCATATTAGGCCTTTAACTGTTATTATGAACAGCTGCTTTAAATAGCCTTGAAATGATGCATCCGTTATGAATAGTGAAGACGTTTCTATCAGTGTTTTTATTGACGTCCATTATTCGCCTCATGTACATGAAATATACGCCTGTCAAGTTTTTTAGAGCAATTCAACAGATCGTGCATATAATCTTTAAAAATCTGTACAAGAATGCAAAAACGGTAAAGCGATCGTGATGTGTCACAAATCTATCTAACTGTCGTGTGGTGTAACATCTTGATTTATTACTATCTTCGACTGACCATCGGGTCAATAGAAATATTGCTTTTGTAGTTGTAGGCAGACCATTATGGCAAAACATTATTGATAAAATGTTTCGTTTATTTATTTATTTTATGTTAAAAACTAAAAGGTATTATGCAATGTCACTATTACTTGTATATAAAAAATAAAAATGATAAAACAATTTGTGAATTTACCAGACACGATTTCTATTTAAAGTTTAATATTATTATTTTTTTTGATATTTTAGATGTGTTTTCACGATAATAATATATAATAATTTTCAAGAATTATTTTCTAGCACAGTCGAATTAACAAAGAAAACCTTAATGTAAATACTCGTATAACTTTAGTTTGAAATGATGGTCGACCTACTGTTAGATGATTTGCAAGTAATAGATATCGAGATAAGTAGCTTTTATGAGTTCGAAGCCAT